TTTAAAACTAATTTATATACTAATATATTTCAGACAAACTCCAGATAAAATTTATTAATTTATTTATTTTTATTTTTATTTTTATTTTTATTTTTATTTTTATTTTTATTTTTATTTTTATTTTTATTTTTATTTTTATTTTTATTTTTATTTTTATTTTTATTTTTATTTTTATTTTTATTTTTATTTTTATTTTTATTTTTATTTTTATTTTTATTTTTATTTTTATTTTTATTTTTATTTTTATTTTTATTTTTATTTTTATTTTTATTTTTATTTTTATTTTTATTTTTATTTTTATTTTTATTTTTATTTTTATTTTTATTTTTATTTTTATTTTTATTTTTATTTTTATTTTTATTTTTATTTTTATTTTTATTTTTATTTTTATTTTTATTTTTATTTTTATTTTTATTTTTATTTTTATTTTTATTTTTATTTTTATTTTTATTTTTATTTTTATTTTTATTTTTATTTTTATTTTTATTTTTATTTTTATTTTTTTTGTCAATTGATAGAAGATTAATTACAAATTTGAGAATAATTACATCAAAACTGTCCAACAAGACATATCTACAAGTCCAACCCAACAACCACTACAAATTATCCACCAAATCCACTAAGCCTAACAGTCACTCAATACAACCTTTAGAAGAGGGGGAAAAAAATGTATCAAACTCCTCTAGTTGAACCAACAACCTCATACCATAATATCTAAGCCAAAAGTCCTGATTTGTAGCAAGAAAAGTTACAAACCATTTTGATGTAAAAAATTACCGACATGTTATAGTGTTTATTAGACAGAACGTTGTGGTCGTATTAAACAACACTAAACGAAGTGAACGAAATCAAAAAGAATGAAATCTCCGTGGGATGCTAGGAAAGCTTGTATAGTTCGTATCATTTTTAAACAATGGTAGCAAACGACATAACTGTATTGAGAATATTGAGTGATACAGATTGTCATGAATTTTTTAAAATCATCAATTTTAAAATGAGAAATGTTAGAAATGCATAGTTTTAGATCTACAATGATATGATAAGAGAGTTGAGTCTTATATTATTGGATAGGTAACAAATCAAAAGTGGACACATATTATACTACATTATTGTAGATTAAATTATGAAAAAATTTTAGAGTCTCAAACATTTTCCCCTAACAAATTTCATGGTTTGTGTCATAATAAATTTAAGAATAAAATAAAGAAAAAAAAAATGTAAGGGCGTTTTGGTTATCTTAAATACATAAATTGTAGTATTTCAAAATTGTCTCATTTACACTATCTTTTTTTTTTTGGTCTCATTTTCGAATTAGATAACTATAGCTGTTTGGTTGTAAAATTTTGAATTTTAAAAAAATTTATTTTATTTCATTTTTTACATTTTCCACCCTATATTGTAAGTATTTCCATTTTCAAAAGTATTATTTTGTGTCAAACATAAAATTCAAAAAATTCCATCATTTGTTTCCCATCTTATCATTCCTTAAGGTTGTATTCGGTTCATAAATTTGAAAAGGGAAAGAAAAAATGTAGGTGAAATGTGAATGAAAAATTGAATTCAGTTGAAAAATTAAAAATAAATTGCAAATCAATAATAAAACTTATCAACTTTAATAATTGAAGCGATAAATTTTTTCATGATTTTGCAATTTTTTTTTTTGGTATTTCCACTGATTTGCAGTTTCTCTAAATGTGAATGTAATATAATTATATTTCACTCACATTTTTTTTTCTTTCTAAATTTCTCGTAAATCACATGTTAAAGTTATTTTTAAATATAAATATGATTCCCAATGATAATACTCAAATAGAAATATATTCTAATCTGTAATTTAAAAATACTTTGCATCCTTATACATGCGTTGGAGCAGAGCCAGCTGGGAGTTTAATTGCTGCACCTCATTTGTCCTACTTTGCAGCCGGTGCGACAAGTTTGTGACCGCCGTCATGGACTCCACACATGCCTTCAAAGTATACTGATTAGCCTCCACATCCGTTTGCACTGCCATTTTTTGCTCCACCGACTGCATCGGAAAGTTCAACGGAGCAAACCCAGTGGTGTTTGGTTGAGGTTCACGGGACACCGCACCAGTTCTCTCTCCTGTGGACTCGTTGAGATCGGGAAAGAGAGTGAGCAGCCCACGGGACGACGAAGCCATTTTCTCTCGCAACAGAGTGTTACAGACTCTCTCTCTCAGCACAACTGTGTTACAGCCTCTCTCTCTCAGCACAACGCAGAATTTTTCAGAGGTTTCTCTCAGTTTCTTGTCTCAGCCTCTGCCTCGGCCTCAGCTCAGTCTTGGTTATATAGCCGAGACAGCCACGCGCATCGCGCGCCTCTTGACGCCGACAACCTGGCACGCCTTTTCATGGCACGCCTTTTGATGACTCGGGCACGCCTTTTGATGACACGCCTTTTGAGGGTGCGGGCACACCTTTTGAGGGCACGACTTTTGAGGGCTCGATATCTACATCCATGTATATCTTTTGGGCAGCCTATATACACACTCATACAGTGTCTTCTACACCGGTCAGCTTTATCAATCCCTTTTCAACCTCAAATAGGTTTTTATCTTCACACTTATTTGAGTTTGAGGGGGGGTTATACACAGTATCATGTATAAGTCGCTCATGGCGCACTGTGCATCACCACAACCTCTTCTACAGCGGTCCGGCATGACCCCGTAAACTGTCCCGACATTGATTCCGGTCAGCTTCTACAACGGTCCGGCATGACCCCGTAAACTGTCCCGACAATGACCCCGTAAACTGTCTTCTACATCGGTCCGGCATGACCCCATAAACTGTCCCAACATTGATTCCGGTCAGCTTCTACATCGGTCCGACATGACCCCGTAAACTGTCTTCTACAACGGTCCGACATGACCCCGTAAACTGTCTTCTACATCGGTCTGACACGACCACACAGTGTCTGCTACATCGGTCCAGCATGACCTCGTAAACTGTCCTGCTACATCGGTCCGGCATGACCTTGTAAACTGTTCTTCTACACCGGTCCGACATGACCCCATAAAGTGTCTCCTACAACGGTCTGACACGACCATACCGTGTCTCCTATCCATTTTTTTATTTATCAATTTATTTTTCTGTTTTGTTACTCTCTCCAAACTCAAGTTGGTTAGTACCTATCCTCCTTGAGTTTGAGGGGGGCTGTTAAAATATGTTAGTGCATTATATTGTTAGTGTATTCTATGTTGTTATTAGCTGTAAAGTGTGTCCTAGCTGATCATGATGTCTTTGCTTTCGGTCCAACCTCTGTACACTCTTCTATAAAGAAGAGTAAGTTTCTCCTTATGTAATACACAACAACAAGATATCAATCAATATACAGAACAATCTTGTAATACAAATCAATAATATACATCAATTTGTTTTTTACACTATTGATGGGTGAATAGCGCCATCCAAGAAGAGGACCTCGAACGACGTACAGGACCATTTGGATTGGTCTTCCTCTGGTTCGTCAGCCCCAGCAATGATCCACCACTTGTTCTCCGCCTCCCTTACAAAGTATTTGTAGTTGTTGATTGATTTATGCGCCACAAACCTTGGCAATTCCATTTTCTCCTCTTTCTGCATTGATCTCTCTAACTTCTTTCTTTTTAGAAGCTGTATTTCTTAATTCGTCGCAGTTTGAAAAAATTTTGAGCT